CAAGTGGTAGAGCGCTAGCCTTGAGCTGAAGAGCTGAGGGACAGCGCCCAGGCCCAGAGTTCAAGCCCCACGACCAGACCCCCCCAAAACAAAACAAAACAAAACAAAAACACCAGAAAACCGGAAGTGGCGCTGTGGCTCAAGCAGTAGCCCAGGAGGCTGAGCTCTGAGGATCACAGTTCAAAGTCAGCTCAGGCAGACTCTCATCTCCAATAAACTACTCAGGAGAAGCGGGAAATGGCACTGTGGAAAGTAGTAGAGTGTAAGCCCTGAGCAAAAGAAGCTCAGAGACAGCAACCAGGCCCTGAGTTCAAGCCCTAGAACTGGCAAAAAACAAAAAGTCTCACAGATTTTCTGTCTTGACTGGCTTTGAACCACAATCCTGATTTCAGCCTCCTGAGTCACTAGCACTGCTGGTGTCAGCCATCAGCATCCAGCTTCAGGCTCTTTAAAAATATTATTTTTTTGGGGGGGGGGCAATCATGGGGCTTGAACTCTGGGCCTGGGTGCTGTCCCTCAGCTCTTCAGCTCAAGGCTAGCGTTCTACCACTTGAGCCACAGCACCACTTCCGGCTTTTTCCTTTTTGCTTATGTGGTGCTGAAGAATCAAACCCAGGACCTCAGACATGCAAGGCAAGCGCCCTACCACTGAGCCACCTTCCCAGCCCCTAAAAATATTATGCTTTGTACAGCAGGTTGAGCTTCCCAGCAAAGTTAAGGAAGCACGGAGATCCCCCTCCACGCACGCACGCACGCACGCACGCACGCACGCACGCACGCACGCACGCCCTTTGTACTGTGGCTGTGACCCTCCTGTTGACGCTGCTTACACTTTGCCCCACAGCCTTTTCTGTGGAGATGAGGTCTTGTAAACATTTTAATCAGCTTGGCCTTGACCCATGATCTGTCTGACCTCTGCCCCCTGAGCAGCTGAGATTCAAATATGAGTCACTGTGCCCAACTTTTCACTCTTTTTTAATGTTGATTTCTTACTGACCGGCTTGATCTCTGTGAGACTCCGCGGGCCTTCATGTGGTAGCCTTGTGTCACCATAGATACAAGTATTGCGGAAGTGGCTGGGGAGATGTCTGTTTCACCCTGGAGGTCATGGGCTTCTATCTGTCGAGAGATTCCCCAGCCCGGCGTCGGTGGCTCAAGCCTGTCACCCTAGCTACTCAGGAGGCTGAGATCTGAGGATTGCAGTTCAAAGCCAGCCCGGGCAAGAAAGTCCATGAGACTCTTATCTCCAATAAACCACCAGAAAACCAGAAGTGGCGCTGTAGCTCAAGTGGTAGAGTGCTCACCTTGAACTGAAGAGCTGAGGAACAGTGCCCAGGCCCAGAGTTCAAGACCCACAACCAAAAGAAAAAAAAACCAGGAAAAAATTCCCCACTCTGATGGCAGCTTGGGCCATTCTTGCTTACAGGCTGACAAGTCTCACTGCGGATACATTTGAGGTTTTATGTCACATTGTTTAAGTGAATACACACAGACAGAGGTGGTTGGAAGGCTCAGTGCCAGGTGCCCTCTCCCATAGCTGGTGCAGGCAGCTTATGCAGCTACAGCACCAGAGCAAAAGCCAGAACCGGACTCTTCGCTTTAGGCCCCACCAGTTGTAGTCTGAAGACCAGTGTGATCTTTTTTGTTGTTGTTGGTTGTGGGGCTTGAACTCTGGGCCTGGACACTGTGCCTCAGCTCTTCAGCTCAAGGCCAGCACTCTAGGCGCTCTACCGCTTGAGCCACAGCGCCACGGTGGCCAGGCTAACTCAACCTTCAGGAGACCTCTGTAGCCACGCCCACCCTGCCCCCACCTCTTCTCCATCAATCCAGACAGGCTGTGGAATTATACCTAGTGTAAAAAACTAATCAATATGAATATAATTAGGTGGTTTGGGGACTGGCAATCTTGTCACTCAAAACAATTTCCTGGCTGAATGCTGGTGACTCATACTTGTAATCCTAGCTACTCAGGAGGCAGTTCAAGGACAGCCCAGGCTGGAAAGTGTGTGAGACTCCCAATTAACCTCTAGAGAACAGGAAGTGGATCTGTGGCTCCAAGTGGTAGAGAGCTCCCCTTGAATGAAAAAACTCATGGCGGCACCCAGCCCGGGAGTTCAAGCCCCAAGAACGACAAAAAAACAACAAAAGCCGGGCACTGGTGGCTCACGCCTGTAATCCTAGCTACTCAGGAGGCTGAGATCTGAGGATCGCGGTTCAGCCCTGGAAGGAGAGACCGTGAGACTCCTATCTCCAATAAACCACCAGAAAACCAGAAGTGGTGCTGTAGCTCAAGTGGTAGAGCGCTCGCCTTGAGCTGAAGAGCTGAGGGACAGAGCCCAGGCCCAGAGTTCAAGCCCCACGACCGACAAAA